ATAGCTGTTTTTTTTTTTATCTCTTCTAAGCGATCTAAGTCCAATTTAATGCTACTTCGTGGTAATTCGATCGTGTCAATATCAATTATTTTTTATCATTTGTCTGGTATTTTATTGCAAAATTATGCATCGTGAAGTCAGACGTGTGCGTAATGTACGTCGAAATAGATATACAGCCGAGAGGAGAAAATAGATGACGTAATCGTACGCTCTGATTTTCTGAAATATCGTTGCAATACAAATTTTAATTTGACATTTGATCACGAGCTTGCGATATATAGCAACCGGTGTTTACGTCAAGTAATAATTCTGATGATAAGAACAAAAATCCGCGATTAAAGAGACGCTCCCTGCCCCCCCCCCTGTCTGGGTCTTGGAAATATTGAGAAAAGGTATCTTATCGATGTTTCGTTAAAAAAATTTCCTTCATTATGCAGTAAAGATTTGGGCCAACACGCCACTCACGCATGGAGATGATATTCAGATACGCAGAAATGAGATTACGCCGTCGGAAATTTTCTATACATGTCGTTGTTAATTGTTATGACTGTGTGTTAGACACGAGACAGCCCCTGTCATGAGATATGAAAAAAAAATCTTGTGACGTGCGGAAAACAAGGAGTGCACAGCTGGGACTCACGTGACACTCTCGTGCCGTTGTAAATAAGTGACACTAGTACGTCGAGTGATCATATACGATTATTAATTCCGATAAGAAACCCTTGCGTCGTGCGGTGGAATTCAATAAAAAATCCGAGAGAGAGAGAGAGAGAGAGAGACAGAGAGAAGAAAAAAATCAGCTTCGTAGAACTTCCGATATATAAAGCCATTCCTTGAAAGAAGTCTTTTCAGAAGGATTTTTCAGAAGGATTAAGGACGCAATGTAGTTAAATAATTTTTAATTAATTTAATTAATTTTGCTCTATTAGTTAATTTGCAACTTATATTTAATAATATATCTACAAATTAATAAATTACACAGATATATAAATATATATGTGTAATTTATTAATTTATAATAAACTTAATTGCAGTAAAGATATTTTATTTTGTATTATTTTCGAAAGATTTTTTTATTGAACTTATTATCAAGTTCGATATTATTAATGATACACTTGGAAAAATATTCCAAGCCGTGTTTAATGAATAAAGAATTATCGGATGTTCAACTCAATGATGTTCCTATTTGGCAACGTTAGATTATGGCTTTAATATCTTGGATAAACACCTTAAACATTAGCTCGTGTATTTTATGTGTATTTTGAAATATTCAGAAAACATGACAATATCCAATATATATAAAACCATTTTTTTAACGATTTAATTTATCTTATGACTGGACTCGATATCTGTGTTTACAAAAATTCAAACGCGATACTTCCTAGACATGGGATCTGCTCTTTATTTACGGAGGTCAAAAATTGACCTCATTTAATGTTATGAAAAAATAATCCAAAATATACTTTCTAAAGAAAAAGATGGAAAGATGGAAAGAAAAAAGAAACTTGACGAAGTATTTGTTTGGAAACGCTTCAATCGAGAAGAGTCTTAATAGAAGAGCATTAATAGATACACATCTCATTTCGAATAAGGATAGACCGTGATACGATCTCGAAGATAGCATTTGACTATATGACTATTATCTTACAACTTGATATATATCTTTGCTGGGGGCAAGATTTTCTACTTATCATTCGATGCATTATCGATTTTAAGTGTGGGAAGTCCCTACCACTTCAAGTTAGGAAGATTACGAAGTTCAAGTAGTTCAAGTAGTTAATACAGACAATTTATAATTATTATCGGAATATTTTTATCTAACATTTTTGGAGATATCGTACATATTTTTCTGATTTAAAATTTTTAGTTAAAGTTAAGAATATATTCAAGCCAATATATTTTCAAGATATAAAACAATACAAAACAAATTAAAAATTAAATAGATAAATCGTGCTATTTTTAATATGTACACATGTACATATACCTGCAATTTTTCTGCAGCATTCCAACACTTATATGGAACAATAGCAACACCAGAGACCTGAACACGAATTTTATTTGCATTTAATATAGATCACAGAGGATTAATATTTCAAACTAATTTCAAACATGTGAATAATCTTCACATTATTATCGATTCTTTCAATATCGATTTTTCACTCTGATTCAATACATAATCGACCTTTTAAACTAATTCTTAACTTAGATTAAAGAGGCACACTATGTATATATGAATATTTCTTTTCAGCATACACTTCACATCCAAATTTGTGACAACAAAAATATAACTTACTACATATTTATGTTTATATAAAATTTACAATTATATATATTCACCAAAATAGTGATATACTTAAAAGTACAATGCTCCCTGCATTATCTTTTAGTGCTATAATCATAATTTGATATTGTTTTTGCTTCAAAATTTTTTCAAATCTTTTCAAAGTGTATTAAGATATAGAAAACTTGGGTTTTATGAAGATGTAAAATCGAAAAGTGGCATTTCAAGAGGTGTTAAAGGAGGTAGAGGATCAAGACACAAAGGATGTTCTTCTGATCTGATATCATTGTTAGAATTGGCAGAGACAGCATATAGACGCTCAGTTAATTGGCGTACCTCTTCTTCTTTTGCTTCTAATTGGCTAAGTAAACTTCCTACTAGAGATCGTAATTGGCTGTTAACAGTTCTCAGCTCTTCTAAAACAGTGCCAGTGTCTTTTGGATGTTTGAAACTTTTTTCTTCAGTACTAGGTACTTTGATTTCTATTAAACTCAGAAGACTATCCTGTTCGTCAATAGTTTTGTATATAGCTTGACGTAAGGAACCATCAAACTTGTTGATTCTTATATCTGTACAATTGTCTTTTTCGCTGTATCTAGCTGCATGTTTATTTAGAAGATCTTTCTGATGATTCTCTAATGTCGTTTTATATTCCTCATATTGTGCTTGTTTCATTCTAGGGTCAAATAAAATTTCTAACTATGAAATGCCATATATATATGACTGTATTATAAGATAAATGATTTTCAAAGTTTAAGTATTCTATAAACAATATATACCTGACAACAGCTGCTTGTCTCTTGTGATAATCTCGTTGTAGATTGAGGGACTCCAGTGTGACAAGCGAATGAATTGGTGTCAGAAACTTTGACGAGTCTTGAGAAGATAAGGTGGATGCATGTACATGGATAAGACTGGATTCAAGTTGTTCATGAGCTTTTGCTAAAAGATCAGCGACAGTTTCGTGACATTCGGCTGCTTCCTCGAACTTTCCCTCTCGCAGTAATGCTTCCGCTCTCCTCTGCTTTTCATGTGCCTTAAATCGAAATCATTAATTATGAATCGATCTCGATGGGCAATAAATAAAATATGTGGGAATAATTATTGAAATAATCGTTCAACATTATGTGTATTAATGTTATGTTAATGTTTATTTCATTTTTAACTCAAACAACATATTAATAATTCTCTTAAAGAACGGATCATGAATAATTATCATTTTTCACTTGATTCATACACTATAATAATTTATATAAGATACAAAAACATATTGTTTATTCAAAAAGCCAAACTCACCAAATTCAAGGCGGACTTTTCCATCACTAATCATCAAGAAGCCATGACAAAGAATGTCCCCAGATCATATTTGAATGAAAGACCATAACATAAAAATCCTATAAAGGGAGAGTTGCTGATTCATCACGTGATGTACCAAAAGATTCTGATTGGCTGGAAAACACGGTATGAATATCCACGAATCAGAAGCATTGAAACAGATCATGTGATCACGTTCCTTTTTCCACGGCTATAGAAATATAGAGATGAGGCATAAAATGAGAAAACTAATATGTTGAGGGTGATAAGGGTGACAAACCATTAAAACCAGTTATGTATTTATTGGTTGTTATTCTGTTTATATGTGTCGTAGCATATGCACACAGTATATACAATAGCGCAACTCTCCCGATTTTAGCGTGTACAAAATTGAACTGCACATGCGCAAGCTAAGTAGGTAACCAATCACGTAACTAATTTTCTGTCACATTTCTTCTCGGGTTTTTTATAACGTTCTCTGTCATTTAAATGTCCAACATACTAACGAGAACAAACGTCTGACATATAAAGTGAAATCATAAAGAGTTTATTCTGTTAGGACGTGTTAAAGAAAATAAGTAGGAGTGTTCAGTATTGAGTAAATATTGAATATTGATTAATGAATAGTTCAGTGTTCAGTGAATAGTGATTAATGAGAGAAAATAAAACTAAGAAAATAAAACGAAGAGTTATTTTCTCTTTGAAGAATAATTGATCTCTATAAAGATTTATATACATTAATTATTCTCCATTTTTTTTTATTATAAGATTTTTTATTATTAGATTTCTTTATTATAAATTTAGAATATTGAAAATTTAAAAAAACGTTATTTCCTTTTAAAATTATTATTTGTTCTTATTCTAAAAGTAAATTAGACATTATATTTAACATAATTGTAATTGCATATATGTATAAGTATATTTATAATGCTTTTAAAATAAATTGTTTTTTCTTTACAAAAATATTTTTCTACTATTATATACCTACATTTCTATTTATTCATTAAATTTTGTATAATTTTTAAATTTTATAAATAATTGTATTTTTTAAATCTTATAAATTTAAGAAATATCTATTTACATTTATATTTTTATTTTAAAGTAATAATATTAATTAAATATATATGTTTATTTTATATACTGTTTCCTTATATTGAATATTTTTTTCATATTTTATGCAATTTTTTTACCAAAGTTAATAATATAATATAGTTTTTCTTTTTATTAATCAATATTTATATATTTTTATATTTATATATATTTTTAAATTATTTTATATATTTTTTAAATTATTTATTATTTTGTATATTTTTAAAATTATTTTTTTACTTTTATATTTTATATTTGATATTTATATTTTATATTGTCTATAGAGTATTTTTCATTATTACCTACGTATTTATATCATATTTATATTATTTTATTTAATTTATATCTTAAATATGATGCTAGCATATAAAATAATAAAGTTTAGAAAAAAAGAAG